TACCATTATATTGTGCGTGCTATAAAGTGTACGAAAAGTACTAAATTTGCAATCGGGTGTGGAATAGATCTGGAATTATAGGTTTTGGTATTCGGATCACTGTTTGTTTAAGGTATAAAGGCGGATTTGGATTAATGTAAAACAAGCAAAAAAGCAGCTAAGACCGACCTTTACTGAACTTTACAAAAACATTTAAAAAAATGTCTATTAAAGTATTGTGTTATATTGGGGGCTATACGAAAGTGTGGATCTGTATAGTAAATTTAACACCAGAGAAGGCGGTGCCTGGGAACTCCAAATAACAAGTTTGAAACAATTCCGTTGAGAAATGTGACATAAATTATCTAAATACCGAATATCGTTAGGTACAATTATATGGGAGCTGTTCGAAAATGTAAGCATATGTATATATTTTCTATCAGAGAATATGATATCTACTATCATTAATGAATACCAATTTTGAGATAATTCAGATGAAATGTGTCACTAAGATCATTAAAATACCAAGGTACCATTATATAGGGGCTATACGAAAATGTGGACCAGTATAGGATAATCTCTGTCATAGGAGGTAGTACCAATTACAAATTTGAGACAATAATGGTGAGGAGTGTGTTACATAAATCATCAGAATACCGAATATCTAAAGATGCAGTTATATGGGATATTTATCAAACCATGGACTTGGATATTTCCTACGTACTGGGGACATAAAATCAGATTTATAGCAAATTCAGTTTAATATTGTGACAGAAACATCCAAAACTCTGTAAATCTGTAAGTATACTTTAATGGTGGCTGTAAACGTGGATTTATATTTCAATACTAAAAATGCTAGGGATCTAAAACATATTTTAGTAAAATTGTTACCAAATACTTCATACCGATTGGAAGCTAGAGTGATTTCCACAGAAGGACAAACATAGATACGGAGAGGCGGACGGACATGGCTAAATATACATATGGTCTTATGCTGATCAAGAATACTTACTTTGTTACTACTCGTAGGAAGTTAACCGACACAATGGGAAAATCTTTTTACATCTATTCAATTTTTCAGCCCAATACCAAATTTAACACAGAAATCTAATTTTTGGTCACAAAATTTCAACCCCCACTGTAAACCATGTCCCATGTGTTCTTATCGATATTGTTGTTTGCTAATGTGTCCCTCTATTTTAAATGCAACACATTAAAATGCCATACAACGGGGACAACCGCCATACATGCCGTGGAATGGACCACTGAAACACACCACCTTTTTGCATCCAACAACGTCCAACATCTCTACAAGTGTTGCCTCGTTGTTTTGTGTTGAATGAACTGAACACTGTTTCGTCTGCCTGTCTGTCCGTCTCTTTCGCTGTCTGTATGTCTGCATTGTTGTCGACATAAAATATGAAAATCCGCTTTCACATTATGTTTGATATCTTTGTTGATAAATCATCATTCTTGGCTGGTTCAATGATGCTGCTGCATGGCTCACAGCAACAAGCTGGCCATACAGCCAACCAACCAACCAGCCAGCCAGCCAAACAAGCATCCATCCAGCCCAGCTTGCAACTTCTGTAAATAATCAGTGCTGTTTGTCTTTCTGATATTGAGCGCATTGCCGGTTAAAGCCTTCCGTTTGCCCTGGTATTCTTCACATGCCTGCGGGGCACAAGCCAACAAATAAGGCGGTTCATGCTTAACTCGCTCCCCGCTGCTGCTCACCGACAAGACGGCAAAAATGATGAGTTAAGCACTGCTGCTGCCAAAGACTAGGTCTCAAAAATGCATAAGATGCATACGATATCCATAAATTGTATTGGCCATCGATGTTTTGTTCTACCATCTCCGGCAATCTTGCAAGGAGCCATCTTCCACTGTATGAGGGAGGAACAACAGTAGAACAAAGTTGCATTTCGTCTGTTGTTGCCTGGGATGAATGAAGTAACTAATTTTTATCGCTTTATTTGCATGATTTTTTAAGTGTAAACAACACTTGATGCCAAGGTTTGAATAAAAACAATGACGTTCCGAAATACCTATATTTTCCATTAAGGCTTGGTTGGCCACGCACAAGGATGTCCAACTCGCACTGGTGAGTGTGGCTCTCTCGACAAAAGAAGAAAAGGCAAATCTTTGGTTTGCATGTTGTTGGGCAATTTCCACATATGTCGGTAGCCAAAATAAACCACTACAACAATTTTAACCCACTTCAAGACAAAGATAACCACAAGCTGAACACTAACGATATGGTATACTCCTAATACCCTAATAGGGTTAAAGCACAAAGTATAGTGGACCAGGAGATACACAGACATACATGTGCAAAAAAGCAGCAGGTCAATTGATATGCAAAATTTACTTGATGTGCATAATTATTGTCTTCAAAATAATTATTTATGCATACCAAAAAAAAAAAAAAAATAATAATAATAACAACAGACGAAGGATGATTTTGCATATATTCAAAATTATCTTATTTGTCCAGAGGGCAAATTTTTAAGAATGATTTTTATGAGGAAGGCATGCACTTAAGAGGCTGAATAAATAATGACAATACCCAGTAAAATGTCTCATTACGATGTAATGGGCAAGGTGTTAGCTATTTAGTAATTAGTGGATAAAGGGTATGCCATACAACATCACTACAACTGCAAAGAAAATGAAATTGTTTCAGTTGACAAATTTTTAGGTGATCTATGTCATTCCGAACTCACGCGACATTCGATATTGTCCGTTTTTTGTAGTCGAACCTTCGATCTTTTAATTTTTAGTAGACACATTACCACTTTTTTTATACTTATTTATTTTTTTGGTGGCAGTTTGGTAAGTACTTACATTCTAGATTTCTTTTTATTGTGATTGTTATCTATTGCGAGTTTGAAATAACAAATTTGAAAAAAACGGTTTGTTTATAAATGTGTCTAAATTCACCAAAATACTTATATTGGGGGGTACCGCTAGATGGAGATATAAAAAATCGTAGACCAATTGCAGCAATATTCAGCCACAAGAGATAGAAGCCAATATAGACTCTGGATACCGAATTTTAAACGTTTCTGCCAAAAATGTGGCCAAATTCTATAAAAAATGTGACCTGCCCAGTGAACCAAATGGCGGACGTCCGACGCATCTGCGACAACTCCAATTTCTCATCCGAAGTTCCTATGAATATCCTTGCGAAGTCGGTCCGACATCAGTTCAAAAGTCGCTAAAAGTTCATAATATCATTCGAACCTTCGGTCCGACAACACATCAATCACTCCATATGACTGTCAGTCAGAAGTCGGACCGAATACGCATCCGAAATCGGAAGTTTAATCCGTCCTTCAGTTTGAAGTCGGACCGAGCTCGGACAGTTTGGTTCGCTGGGTACATAGACAACGGTCTGCCACAGGAGGTAGAATCTATGACGAACTTTACGCACCGCATTTCCGTATTTTAAAATCATAATAGTATCGAATATTTGGTGGAATATCCGAATAGTATCCGAAAACGTGGACCGAAATATACCTTATTCTGCCACGGGAGGGGAACCCCCTACAAACACTAATAAGCAAATTTAAAAGATTTCCCTTAGAAAACGTCATCAAAACATCGAATTCAAATTTTACGCTGATCAAGGACTTCGTCCTTAATTAGGTCCATATTACTTTGTGGGTCATAAGTAGGGATAAGTAAGACGACCTCCAACTAATCGATGTTTGGTGTTAAAAAGCCCGTTAGAAAAATCGCAAAGTCGACTTTTTCCGATTTTGAGATCCTATATTGTTACTCCACTTTTCACCTTCATGCAAGCCAAAATATATGCAGCTATTTATTAATTATTAATAGATCTCATCGTCCGCTTTACAGAAATACACCTCAAAAAATCTATATTGTTTTTAATCGATTTTGTTTTTTTGTCCAGCCTCGTCGGGCTGAACTTTGAGTACCCTCCACTATTTGCAAGGAATTTGCAAATTTTCAAAAAAAAAAAAAAAAAAAACTTTAAAAATATTTCTAAAATCATCAAAATACTGAATATAAGAAGGAACCGTTTTATGGGGACTATAGGAAGACTAATACCTGCAAAAACCTTTTTCTGCCGTAGTCCGTATTACTCATTGAGAACTTCAAATACCAAATTTGACACATTCCCGGCGAATAATTTCGATAACATCTGAAAATACCGATCATAGGAAGGAACCTTTATATGGGGTCCATACGCGGACTTGTTTAAGCAATTTTCTGTCATAGGATGTAATCTCCGTACTATGGTGGGGGGTATAAAAAGAAAATATTTTCAAATCAATGATTCGAAGAATCGACCATTACATTGAAGATTTTAACCAATTTTGTCATGGAATTGGAAGAAAATCCAGTCACTTCATTAATTTTTTAATGAAAATGAAAACATAAAATAAATGTTGAATCTAATTTTGAATAATTCTTACAGAAAACGGCATGGCCTCAGGGATGTATTTCTGTTGTTTTACGTAATTGGTCTACCACCTTATTTTCTGTTTACTGAGAACAACAATAAATTTAGTTGGAAACTAAAGCTGTTGTAAATGATCGTATACCGTTTCCAAAACCAAACTTCGTTGGTGCGAAATTCTGAGTCTGTTATAAATCTATGTAGATGTGATGATCACCAATCTAAATTTTTTAATTACTGCGAATATAAATTTATTTATAAAACAGACTATTTAATTCAAATATTCTTGCTGATATAATCTTAAATTTGACGGGCATCTACCGCCCTGAGTGTAAACTCCTTTAATATTAATTAATACATAATAATTATAGAGTCCTATAGATGTCTAATAAAAATCAGACCCAATAACTTGCCGTTCTATATCTATTCAGACATTTAAATTAAAATGTGATACATTTTAACGACACACACATTATTATTAGCCATAAATTACACATTGCTATAATGATCAAACTTGAAACCAGATCCAGTTCAATTGAATTTCTAAGATACTACATAACACATCATTTAGCCCAGTAACACAACTTACTTTGATGGCCGTCCCATTGCAGCGTTCCTCGCAATGTTCCCACTATAACTATTATTCGGCGTTGGTTTTATTTTCTGTAACTGTTCCTCAATATCGCTTAGCTGTTGATCATCGCTAACGGTGGCATGCATCCAAACGGCATTGCGATTACGGCACTTATTCAAATTTTGCAAGCCCATCACCTTCAGAGCGGGATCGGTCGAAGGAGTATTCTTGGTAGGCAATGGCCGAACGTTCTGTTCGCCGGCACATCGGCCAGTTATCATTTCCAATTCCAGGGAAATAAGTGCATCTTCGTCAGGATTATCGTCAATGACAAGATGATGGTGTCGTTGATTGTATTGAAACGCTTTGGCCACTGTCTGATGTATGACAGGCGTTTGATGGAACGTCGGCGAGTCGGTGGCACTCGCTTCGGAGTGTGTCTCACTGGGACATGATATGCCCGATGATAGAATTGTGTCATCTGACATGTTTGGGACAAGTTTGTGACCAACTTTGTTGTTGTTGTCACTGCCATGGATGCTCTGCTGGCTGGTGGTGCAACTCAGATCGTAGCTGATCAAACTGGATTGCTGCGAGTGCATGGCGTCTATAGCGTCGCCGGTGCCATGGTAAAGTATTTGAGACAATTTGGGCGTTAGCCTGGTCTGCTGTGACTGTGGCTGTGACAATGATTTTGATGTCATGGCTGGCGCTGATGATGGAGTGGCATGATGGATTTTTGCATGGTGTTTGATTGACTTGCTGCTGCTGCTGGACTTTTCATTGCGATTTTGACTAGTTTTAGAACATTTCTTCTGCGGTAAATTATTCGTAATTGTGGTTGGGGTTTTCGTGTTTGTGCCATTCGCACGATGCTGATGCTTAGAACAGTTAGCTTTGGATTTCTTGGATGGTGGTTTATTGGAATGTACGGTCGTCATCGTTGCAACACTTTGCGTTTGAGAAACCCTGGCAAAGGCACTTTTTTGTGATGCATTGAAAATTGCCTTTGCTGTGGTTGTTTTTGCTGCAGTGTCTGTGGTCGGCTTCTCTCGACTGGTGGCTCGTTGCGTGCCGCTGCCGTTCTGTTGCAAACGGCGGCGACTCCGTCTGATGCTGGGCATATTACGTGGAAATAATTTGGCAGCCTCATTAAGTGTGCACAAGGACTTTTGCGAGTTGGAGTCAAGCGTCGACGAGGAATTCGTGGAAGAGTATTTGGTGGAAAGGGATAGCGTTGAGGCCTTATCATTGACGAAGGTGTCTGGCACAGGCAGCGTCGTCATGTCACGACATGTCTTGGAGCCATGTGCAATTCGCGCAGGCGTTGATGTGGGAACATCATGTGTGCCACCATCATGCTGCGTATTTACAGTTATTAATTTCCAGAGCTTCTTAGCGGCCCGCTTGCCAAGAGTAGATTTTGGCGTTGCTGCCGTTGCACTTTTTGGTGCATCGGTATGTGTCATTTTTGTTTCTAGTTGTCAAGACGCATGCGTCTTAGATTTACACTTCTATAAATGAAGATCCACAATTAAATTTCACTTATTTTTATGTGGGTCGTTGTCGGTCGGCGGCGTAGTCACGCTTTTAATTGGAAACACTAAATAATCGATTACTGATGACCAAACACAACGGGAGATTTTTGCCTCCAACGGACCCAATCAATCTATCAATCACTGGTTCGATCACAATTGTCTAATTATAGACATTAAAATTTCATATAAGGCGTGTTTTTATTGACTCCATTCGATTTTGTTTTGTTTTCATTTCATTTCTATTTTATTTTATCTTTCTCGGCGATAATTGGCAACTTATTCACTACGTTTGTTCTACATACGTGATCGGAATCTATTGTGGCGACACTACACACGATCACCAACCACTACCGTCTTCATCTAATCATTTAATTATTTGCTCTACGCAAAAATGGGAAAACACCAACAAATCGTTTCGCAGAATTTCAGAATGCACCACATAGGTGTATGCTACGAGTACGAGACGTGCCCAAAAACCGCTTCAAAACAATGCAACACAACACAACAAAACCAAAAGAAATAAAAACAAAAACACAGACAGAAAACACGTTTTAGACCGCAACACAATCACTTCGTAGTGGAGCAACGATCGCGAAATGGCTATCAGTTTTCACGATACCAAACTTCATGAATGGAAGGAAAAATAGAATACGGCGATCTCAATTCATCCGCTGGCGATGCGTTTACGGCGGTGTTCAGCTGAAAACTAAAATAAACATGAAAATTTGTTGTTTGATCATTTTACTCGATCGGCCAAACCAACTGGCAGCGCCATCATCAAGATCTGGTGGCTTAGATGTTGGCTGTGTGTTTACGAATTGTTAATCGAAAGAAAGTTAACAACAAAACTCCCCGCAAAACAGAGCTCCTAACAAGAGCCAATATTATCATCATCGTCATCATCACCAGCAACAACCACCACCATCGTGGCTGATGCTATATACACAGGTGAGACAAGCATTGAGGAAGCATGGAATGTGTCCGCCGCATGTTATTCTACAACTTCAAACACCGGTTTGCAGAAATACCAATGTATTTGGCCAAAAAGAAGTTAATGATCGTTAGTGGAGTGCGCATCGTTTAAGCCAGTTTAGTGCTCACCACCAGTTTGTTCTCACAATGGCCGCTCTCTCTTTCTCTTTTTGAGTCAATGCTCTCAACTGATCGTTGTTATGGGTTTGAGACCTGTTTTAGCCATTACAACTCAAGAGACTGAGCTACACTTTTTGAATTTCATTCATTGTTTTTGTTTATAGTATCTCATAGATTACATTGTTTTGAGTGGAATTTGTGGATATACTCTAGTGTTGTGTTGCCAGATTTGGGTATTTTATAGTATACAGTCGAAGATGTTGGTGTTGTTTAAAATTTTAGTTTAAAACTTTAAATAACCTCCACCTTTGGGTAAAGTAAACATTGTCATATATAAGTATATGAATTCAAACGTGTTCCACTTTTATCTACAAATACAAGTAAGACCGTTTGGATAATGCTGTTTCAAAAAACAATAAAGTAAGTTAGGACGGGGGCATACCAAACCGGAAACTTCTATAAACAAATCTTTTTAAATATAATATTTGAAACAAATGTGACCGAGTATCGGTGGTTATTGTTACATGTGCGCTATAGGAAAACGTGGAACCAAACTTTCAATGTTCTGCCGCCAGGGCTAGAACCCATTATGACCTAAAAATATCAATTTTGAAATTCGTAAAAAATATGGCAAAAATGATCAAAATACTGGATATCCGAATCATCAAAATACTGAATACCATTCTGAGGGGACTATACGAAAACATGGGTCTATATATACCTATATACATAGTATGTTCCGCCACAGGAGCTAGAACCCACTACGAACAACAAATACCAATTTTAGGACAAATTCATAAAAAATGTGGCAAAAATCTTCAAAAAACAGACTATCGGGATGTACCATTATATTGGGGCTATACCAAAGCGTGGACCTATATGTACCATGTTCCGCCACCGGAGCCAGGACCTATTATGACCGAACATGGGGAGGTACCGTTTTATGGGGGCTATTCCAAAACGTGGACCGATATATTTCATTTTTAACACGAACCATGCTAGATACAATATGTTAAAAATGTGAGCTGTATCGTGATTTCAACAGACAAACGACTTCGAATTTTATGCGGATCATCAATATATATATATTTAGGGGTCTACGAAGAATATTTATGGATGTTACGAACGGTATGACAAAGTTAATATAACCTCCTTTTCAAGGAATGTATTATTTATGTGGAATGTATTATTTATGTTCATAATTCTTTAGGAATAATTGTAAGTCAATATTCAACCAGAAGATGTGAATCGAAAAATGTATTAGATATATGAATATGATGAAAATCGCTTACTTATTTCGCATGGTATGTGAAATATATTAGTGGGAAGGTACCAGAAAGATTGGTCCTATATATTTCATATTCGCCCCAGGTATTGTTTTAGTAGAAATATTGGGATGTGTGAAATTTGAGAAAAGTAGATGTCCAATTCGCATTTTATGATCGTTTTGGTTATTCAAAATGTTGACCCTTTGTGGTGGAGGTACCAGAAAGAGTTGGCCGACATCTACCATATTCACAGCAGATATTTTGTTGATAGAAATATTGAGATGTGTTTACTTTGAGTATATCGGATATTCATTTCGTGTTTTATGAGCATCATGGCTATACGAAATCATGACCCGTTGTGGGGAAGGTACCAGAAGGAGTGGACACCAAATAATGTATTACTAAAAATATTGGGATATGAGAAAACAATCGGACTCTTATTTCATTTCTTATATAAGTTATAATTATTCCAAATTTTGGCCATTGTGGGGGAAAACTTGATGGAGTGGGCCGATATTGTCCATTCTCGCATCTGACCTAGCACTGACCTTGATAATATAATTACAAGGTAGGGAAAACGAAAACGAAAAACGATACTCAAGCTAGAGTCTTACAACTTTCAATTTTATTTCTCTTATCTCTCTATATTTCTCTTATCTCTCGTGGACTAAAATCAGTACGCCAAATCGTAGAACATTCATTTTTTTTCATTGATGGGATATTAAATCTATTCTTTCTAATAACCATCATTATAATCACCATTTACCCTATAAATGAACTCTTACATTGCTTATATATAGTATATCACATGACCAATGATAAGAATGACTTCTTGATGAAAAAGTTCTGCTAGGTAAATATTGACAAAATAACTATATTTTATCTTCTACACAATATATTCTTTTGAATCCAACTTTACCAAAGCTTAGCTAAACATGCTACTGGTTTAACATTTGGCAACATCGTTTCACAACTTCTGTCCTAACAATCGCTCTCATTGAGTTATTTTCTCTCTTTCGACTATAAATAACACATGTCATTGCAATTTTTCACTTTGTAAAATATAACTATTGCATTTTTTACTAGCCACTTGCTCTCCCTCTCTTTCTCTGGCATATTCCTCAAGAACGGATTAAAAGTGACGATAAAAATGGTAAAGAAGTACAAAAACCTTACAGACAGTCTGACACAATAAAACCATTCGTTTCATTTATAATTGACCGATTTATTGTTGAAACTATCTGTGTCAATGTCTGTCAATTATCGTCGATGAATTTATGATTTTTACCGCCAGGTGATAATCTTATCCTATGTTCTTTGATTTGCCATTTGCAATTTTCCAATGGCTAAGAGGAGGAATTCCTTTGGAAAACTAATGCAATTTTCCCGCATACCAAAGTGTATTCGTGAAGTAGTCATTGAATATAGAGCAGCACTTGAGAGTAGCTTGGAAAATTAACATTGATGTGCAGAAGTAATTTATGTTCTAACATACGGCTGAGATGGGCAATTATATTCGTTGTCGGATATCTGCACTGTGTGATAAACTTCATTAGAGGGAAAACGTTACGTTTTTTCTTCAAAATAAAAAGAATGAAAACGAAGTCGAGTTTCATTGAAAACGTTTTAGGCATATTAGATGAGAATTCCTTAAAAAATACGAAGAAAAGTAACTTTCTTCTCTCGGGTTCGAGTTTAACACAAACAGATTACAAGTGAAGCAAGTTAAAAAGTATCATTCGGGTTAACCGAATTTATTATTCTAAATATTGAACCTATATGGAATATATACCGAAAGTGTGGACCAAATTATCAACTTCTTATCTGAATTAACTCTGATAAAAATATAACAACCTGTTCAATTTGGACCATATCGATATATTTAATAAATTTTGGAAATGTTGAAGTGTTCCACTTAAAATTAATATGTTCCACTTAAAATAAACATTTGGGAATAATTGTTAATAATAATTCGAATATTTTGTGTTGGAGTTACCGGAAGGAGTAGGTATAAATTTCACATTGGCATGAGATCTCTGGTGAAAATAACCGCACACTTTTCTCGCAAGTTATGAGAGATATAAGTATTGAAAATTGTGACCCTATGTTGGGAGATACCAGAAGGGGTGTTGGAAACATTGGAATGCATGAAGTTTAAAAAGAATCGGATGCTTATTTCGCGTTTCATGAATTTAACGGTTATTCATGGTTATTGCAGATTTTGATCCTTCTTGGGAGAGGTATCAGCAATAGTGGGTCTATATTATCCATTTTCGTACTTGACCCAGCACAGATACAAATATTATGATTTGTAAAGTTTGAAAAACATCGAATGATCCTTTTTTCTATCAGGTAAATTATTTTCTGTGAAAAATTTGACCTCTTTTGGGGGAGATACCATAAGGAGTGGACCAATATTGTCCATCTTCGAAATCGATCTGATTTTGAAAATATTACGATACACCAAGTTTGGATGAAATCGGATACTGCCTTCGAGTATTATCAGCAATGCAAAGAGATGGACAGACGGGCGGGCGGACACCGTTAGATCTACTCCAAATGTCCTGAAACGGATTTGGTCAGAAGAGGCATAGGGCCTACAACCGTTATTTTGATGAGACACATTTTGGCCGTATCAAATGATATATACTATCTGTGCCATATGCCTACACGAATACACTTTGCAGATATAAAAAGAATAACAAAAATAACTTACTATCTTCACGTGGACCTAAAAAACAATGTTCTGCCACCGGAGCGAGAAATCGTTACGAAATGCAAATCCAAAATTTTAGACAAATCGGTAATAAATGGGACTAATATCTTCAAATTATCGAATATCGGGACGTACCATTATATGGGGGACTATACGGAAACGTATTTCGATATACTTCTATTCTCTACGCTCTACGTCAATTAATGTGGACTGTACATGGTTTCGGGTAACATGCCCTTTTAAATACAATAGGTTTGTAGTTTGATTTGTAACTACTTACGATTGATAAAAATTGGGTAGTGAATTCATTTTTTGGTAATTGGATTTTTTGCTTTGGCTGGGAATCGAAGAAAACATTTCAAGTACTGAATAATATTAGTTATTATTTCAAAATATGTCAAAATCACCTCTTTTTGCTAACCGATCAAAAGCATAAGCACACCCCTTGAATAATCTTCATACATACACATACATAAATATTGTTTAAAATTCCTCACGTTTTGATACATTTAAATATTTATCAGATAAGAGAGAATTCTTGTTTACTTTGACAAGTAAACTTGCAATCAGCAAATAGAGAAGATGCGATACAGTGATAAGAACTCCAT